CACTTATTCGCATGGTTAACTATTACTTGAACATCCTACATTAAAATTAAGTAAGCAATCCAATAAGTATCTAATCTATAGTAAAACTATTATAAAATCATACTTAAATTATTAATATTAAAACTATTATACATATAATTACTATAAATAATTAGTAATATTAAATGACATATTTTTTTTTTTTTTACAAGAAATTTGAAAATATGTTGTCATCTTTTATTTGATACATTATTATATTTAATAATATAAAAATCATATACAATCTAAAAATTCTTAAGCAAATCCATCATTGACACAATTATTAAAAAAATTAGGACATTTAAAGAAATTACTGGAAATCATATGACATAATATATAAACGTATTATATACGTTCGTTCTATTATAATATTGTATTATCAATTTTTAGGTTTTTTTAAAAAAACATTAAAGGGTTTGTGGGAGGATTAGTTGTTATTAAGGTTAATAATAAAGGTTAGTCTAACGTCTAAAATACTATTTTACACACTAACCCACGAATATTATACTCTCTCATTCGAAATTCCTGAGCACTCTCCTGCCCAATATCCACATACTTATATCCGTGGGAAAAATTCATCGAAACGATACATAGGTACTAGCTGTACACGATATTATAATAGAATTTGTAGCTGCGATCAATATGAAAACCCGTCCAGTGAGTATAATATACATATAACACGACAAAATAGATTTTTCTCCGGGAACCAAAATTCGATTAACGTAGTTACCAGATAAATATCGAATATGATTTCAAGTACCAACTAGTACCGTCTGATAATTTTTATTGGTGTATACAATAGAACGACGACTTCCTGTAAGATAGCTGGTCAAAATATTTTTAAAAAAATGTCTCGTGAAAAATATCTCTATTAATAATAATTTATGTACTATGTAAATAATAGTATTATATATTTCTGATTCGCAATTATTTAAAACGTCCAAATCATATAATAATAATTATAGCTCTATGTACGTAATAAAATACTTGGTTCCAATCTGCTTCAACATTTTTTTCCGCATATTAGAAGATAATGTTTAATAGAGAGTCTAAACATTATTTTCATGGGAAATATTGCACACGGGATATTTTGACTGGAGTTTATTTTACCAACAACCAATCCCCGCAGCAGTTGCAAGATCTTCTTTGGCTATGATGATGAAAAATTGTTTGTCATCTAAACTAACAAATACTATATAGTAAATAGTAATAGTATAATTATGTAGGAAATATGCGCGGAACAACCTAGCTAGACTAGCTTCGCCGGAAAAGAACCTCTCCCTCGGCCGCGGTTCAAACTGGTCGGTGTTTTCAGGTCATCGTCGGTTCATTTGTTAGTTTGGTTTATCATTAATATTATCAATCTCAAAGGAGTAAAAAATTAAATTACTAGAAATATTTTTCCACGTGACAATCAGTCGTTATATTATAATAAAAGAGATATAAAGCAGGTGTGCATTCGTAGCGAATTTTGTTTATTTAAAGTAGGACGTATAGTATAGGTTCGGTATATAAACTTAAGTAAATTTTATCAAAAGCTTTTTTCACAAATTGCAGACAATCATAAAATTTAAAATAATTTCAAAAGTTTTATGTGTTAATACTACATTTTTTATTTTCAAATTCAACCCACTATAAAATAATAATATATTTTACTATATTACACTAGGTATAAATAAAGACGTTTAACATTAAAAATATCAATTTAAGTTCATTCATCTAAATACATTTAATCCATATATCATTATAAAATTGTTGCTAACATTTTATTTCATTGTGTAAAATGTTTATTGTTCATTAAAAATAAATTGATTAAGGTTTATTATAATATTTATAATAGTACTTATTTTCATCTGCACGACTGTATATTTAAACAGTTAAATGGAATAACGCTATAATTATAAACATAGTACATTTAATAATATCAATAATATTATTATTATTATTATTACTATTGTTATTTATCGTTATTAATATTATTTTCTAGTGTATTTTAATTTTCAGTCATTATACTAATAAAAAACTAATTTAAAAATCAAGTGTTACGTACACGGCGCTTAATATTTCAGCCTGTTTATAAATTCCATCATAATTCACAACATTATTATAATATTAAATATTAATGTCAATAATAATCCAAATAAAACTACATAAATGCGACTATTTCAATTTTTAATTTGAAAAAAGTTCAGTGATAAAACTTGCTTCAGTATATTATGGACGTATTGCCGTTAACATTAATATACCGGCAAGACTATTGTATTTCCTCGTTTAAATTATCTTCAATATTTCTTTGCTTCATCTCAAGGATAACATTATTATTGTGATGAAATACTGATGTGCGTACTGACCTGCGCAATACCCATGGTAAATAATCGTTATCGAAAGAGAACCGCTACCTAATCGTCCTTAAATAAAATCAAATTATACAAAAACTATTTTATGAAAAGATTAAAAAAGTTTCTCTCGTAAGTCTTGTAGAATATAACAAACAACTTTCAACGAGTATGTAATTTTACCTATATTTTGTAATAATTAAGACTTGTATACATATAGGTTAAGTATGCGAAGACATAGAGATGATTGTATTGTTCAGCTAATCAAAACTAACCATCAAAAATTAATTTTGAGTCATTAAACGAACACAATATAATACAATAATTACAATTAATAATAATGTATTTATATAAATATTATAGTCAGTATCACTCACTGCGGTCGTAATTAATTAAAGTTGGAAACATTGCGGAAATGGAACGTGTATATTGCGTAGGTTCATGTATAGAAGAAAGTCCATGTAGATTCGTCAAAATAAAACGGAATATTATAGTGAACGGCAGCATAACGATATAATCGTCATCATTTTTCTTTCAGAACTCGCCGAAGATAAATCGTTCAGGTGTTAATTAGGCTGAACAAGACATGTACAACACGTGTGTATCTATTTGTGTGCGCGCACTATGCAGGGTTATTTTTCGGTGTTTATATTATTTTTAAACAACTCAAAGGGTACTACTATGACCAATATAATATTAAAATAAAACTATGGCGTATAAGTCGGTTAAAAAATCATAAGGTTTAAAAAACACCATTGGTAGGTTTAATCTATAAAACCAGGATTTTGAGAGGTAAAAATATCATTCAGCATACAATATTATGTAAGTATTATGTTTCAAATAAAACGAAAACATCAATTTTCAGTTAACCCGTGACAACCACGATTTTTAAGCACACGTAATAATTATTCGATTTGTGCACGGCTTTTATAAAGATGTGTAGGTACAATACTGAAGCTTTGCGGCCGTACATACGACCATCGTATATTATTGAACATATTTAACGACACCGCTGAGTTATATTATACATAGTCAATTTACCACAATTCGTGATATTAAATTATAAGAAATTAATAATAATAAATCGATAATATTTCATGATTATTACTCACTTATACACGCAAACCAATTTAAATCGTCAACGGATGTATTGACCGCAATCCACTACGTATAATCTGATATTTGCTATGTCTGTATAATAAGTCCGCACCGGACCGAAACCAAACGATTGGTTATATTACTAAAGTAAATTTATTATTATTTATTAACATGAACGACTCATGTTCACATTTAATACTTATGTATAATGTCTGTTCTGTGTACCGAAGTGTTTTTAAACGCATATACCTAGTTTCAAAAGACAAGCTGTAGTTTTATTATTTTTGTTTACTAGCGACTAACTTTTTTTATATATGTTCTATTATTTCTGAATGCCGATTGCACTTTCTAATTCAACGGTATAAAACGATACTACGATGGTGCGCAATTTAAATGCAATTAAAACTTGAGAATATATAATTACTAATATTATATTATGTATACTTTACTATTGCACTAGGCAACACGGAATAAAATACAATATCACTATTACACAAAAATTCTATCTATATATATAACAAAACATGAGCATAATTCTGTGCAACAAATCTCTATAAATATATCAGGAATAATAGAGTTATCTTGTTATATTTTTTTAATATTGTATTGAATTAAAAAATAAAATGTCTTATAAAATGTATAAGTATTTATGATACAATTATTTTTAGCTAAAATAAAAGTATATCTTCCATTTGTTTAAGCTTTAAAGACATGACAATGTCTTATTAGTAACTGTACCGTCTGTTAGAGAATATTGATTCAGTGCTTATCGTATGTTATAAATTATAATGTATATATAAATAGTTATGTTTAAGTTATTTTAAACCAATACACTTTCTAAAACCCTTCCAGATCCGCATGCGTATTAATACTGTGTACGATGTGGTTTGACATTCACCCACATGACGACGTTCGGGTTGACAAAACACAAACAGAACGTGATAGAAAAACTCGTATTTAAGACTTGTTTTATTGCCAAGTCAAACTTTAACTAAAAGTATAAAATATTACAATAATTATAAACATTATTATTATTATCATCGATATCAAAACTAAATGTTAGTTTGTTATAAAATTGATCTTCGCAGTTTATACTAGTAAGTCCTTTAAAGTAATACACATTCAAAGTATTACACATAATATCACTAATATGTGTAAGTAAAATTAAACAGACGAAAAAATCATAAACTGATAATTGATGTACCAAATATAAACCCTAAAATCGATTAATCTCGCATAGATGGAACTTAAGCAGCCTTGTTTGTAAATACTATGATAATCTTTAATACTCTATAGTTGCAGTTGATCGGTACATGAAGATAAAAAATTCAATCGATAAAATATAACAACCATGGACAGATCGATAGATAAAATAAATATGCTAAGATCTCAGGACTTGAGTCCTGAGATTACCTGCAGATAAAAGGACAAAAGTCTACGTACTGGCTGTACGATACGTGTGTATATTATAATAACGAGAGTATCGACAATATGCGTTTTAAATAGACTCACCACGTGTAAAAATTATTGGTATAGTATAATACCTACTGTGGGTATCGACGTAGTGTGTATCCGTGATCGAATTTCGTGAGCACTTGATCGGAAGTCTGCAGCACGCTTCACGAACCCTGAATGTTGGATTTTCGGAACGCACTCGTTATCGAGTCAAACTGTAGTGTCGGCGAAAAAAAAAATTAAAACTAATATAGTTATGAGATTATATTATTAAAACGAAAACGGATCGTTGTATTCCACTACTATGTGATGTCGATGCGTCTTTAATTTACGATTTTACTTGTAGATGGTTATATTTTACGTGCGTGTGTGAATATAAAGACGAATAAGCAACGTGCGATGTTGTTGACGACTGACCGGCGTGTGTTGCGGCGGGAAACAACGATACTGCAGAGACGGCCGGCCGACAAGACGCCCTCCTCTAATAAGACAGTCGACCCGAGTACTCGTATCCATATACGTAATAGTAAAATTAATTCATTATACGATCGCGGTAAAAGCATCTCTCCTACGATGATGATGACCTTAACAAGGCGATAGCATAAGAAACGCGTTTTCCACCATCGTTTTTGCTAATTTTTTTTTTATGCATACACGAATAATATTATAATAGTGACTCGTATGCCTACTATTTGGCTATCAGTGAAGCTATATTTTTGACTGATATTAGTCTTTGAGTTTTTAAAAATATGCTATAAAATGATGAAATTCAGTGAGGTCTATAACACACGAGTTATAATATTACACATATCATATTTACTTATAAAAAAAAAAAAAAATGAATACCTACATTAGTTTTTAATTTTTTTATTTATCTCGAATTTTTACAGTAATTAGAAATACGTTTTTTAAAGATACTATACCACCATGCCACCTATTAAAAATAAAAATACCCAATAAGTTATTTACTGTAATTTTTATTTAAATTTTAAATACGCTTTTAGATATTTTTTTGAAATTTATCGTCGAATTAATATTTAATTCAGTAAAATTGGGATATTTTCAAATTTACGTAATTTATTGTTTTTATGTAACTATTTATCACCATTGATAATATAATAATAAAGTGTATATATAATTAATTATAAATTATAATATAGTGTATATATAGTTAATTATAATATATACTATATTATAATAATGTTATGGTGACTGATATTAATTTTGGCACTAACAAAAATAATCGTTATATGGGGACAAGGCACATAAATATTCTTGCGTATGTTTTATGTGATTTTCCAAATTTTTTCTGTGAATTTTTGACTGTATTAGTGGACCTCGTACGATCAAAACTTTTATTCAATAGTTTTTCAAATACTCTTATTACTGGAATTACTACAGACTTAAACATATAGGCATGTTATACAGATTAAAACCTCAAAAAGCCAAGTAACATCTACATAAGTCTAAATATTTAATAATTGCAAAGAGTTTAAAGTAAAACCTAAATAAATTAGGTTAAAATGAATTTATCTTAATAGCAATATTATAAAATCATGAGTTTAATATTATAAACTCAAAAAAAAATGTTGTAATCTATTGAACAAAATGAATTTAAAATGTACAACTTTATAATGAGCAAATATTTTTAATATATTAAGAAAAAATAAAATTTTCATTTTTATTATACTTTTTAATTTAAAATAATCCATTCATAAATAAAAATATAATATTCCATTATAGTATACACACTAAAATTAATATGATCATATTGAACCAATATAATTTAATTATTATAATATTCTATTTAATTTATAAATATTGTATATAAATATAAATATCTTGATGTACCGATTTTGATATAATGCCTATTTAATTTATTAGTTACTAGAAATCAGCATTTTTATTTTACGTGAACCATACTTGTAAGTTGTAATATACTGCTCATCGCATAAAAAAATTTTCTTTTAATAGGTCTCGTATTATTATTGATCATGATTCGATTTTATCATATTATAAAATAAAACATCGTTTTAACTATCGACACCTAGTTAATAAGTAAAACTGTGGTAACCGGTTGAAATATTTACCTAATATTAGTAACTAACCAATAAATATATTTTGTTACGTTTTTCACGGTAATAATTTCACACGATATTTAGTTCGCCTAAGTGAAATGAATACGTTTTGAAATTAGTTGTACAAACTACAAATATCGAGTGTTTACAAACAATGGCTTTCTATGAATGTCAATTTTTTAGGAAATGAACAATTGGTAATTGGTATAAAAATAACTAATAAGTATGGAACTATACTAGATTTTTATACTGTATTTAAGTCAAAAAATGTTAGTTTGTTGTTTTCATTTTTTTTTTTTTTATAATAAGCATTATTAACAACTTAAACAAATAAGATAATAGATAAAAACTAGGTTTTTGAAAAAAAAGTATATACTTTCGTATTTTCATAGTCATAATGCATAAATTAAAATGAGATTCTTCAAAACAAAATTATTAGTAGCTTAATTTTTGGATACTACCAATAGTAGGACGTATGATGATATTACACATAAATGTAGTATTCTGTAATTTTAAAATTATATACTTAGTTTATAAAATCATTTTTATATTACAAAAATTAACGTCCTGGAGTAGAGCATATTATGTCCCTTCATTCTTATAAATAACAAGCGCATAAATATTAAATCTATTTTAAAAATAATAATTATTTACGTGGAATGTTGTAAATAGTAATATATCTATAACATTGCGATTTAGAAATAAGTACAACTGTGACGGAATAAACATGTAATTAAAAAGCTGCCGGCAGTTGATATTATCCAATGTAACAATAATTATTATTATAATAATCACGATACCGGTCGTTGGTCTATAAATCCCTATTTATCCTTTTTCTTATGATGAACCCCATCGCGTCCCGGACGTGAGATAGCATACTCCCACGCACATTGTCGTCTCTACTGAACTGTTTTAAATATTATAATTATATGTGTGTGCGAAGTGTTACCGATTTCGCTTTTTAATTAATAATTACTCTTTATATACATTTATAATTATTAGTATAGTACGCAATACCCAAACAACATACGCCCGAAAACAAAGCGTGGAGAAAAGTGAATAAAATTAATTCTTCTACACTCGAATACTCGAATATTAAATTATAATAAAATATGTAACATACTTTAATTTGTATGTATTTTAGCTATAATTAAATATTTTAATAATTAGCCAGAACAAAAACTGACGTCAAAACTTCTTATTGGCAAATGATAAATAATGGCACCAGTGGCGTATTTATGGGGGGGATCAAGGAGATAAATCCCCCCTATAGGCTGTATACACACAAATAATTATAGTTATCATATTATTTAAAAAATAATTATTATTTTTTTTTTTTTATCAATAATTGATTAAATTTTCAAAAATTAAAATATTATAATATATTATACAATACTTTCATTGGTATCTTCATTTATAAAGTCATATCCCTCCTCCCCGTGACAAAAACCTAAATACGCCACTGAATGGAGCTTGACCCATCTAATACCATTCAAATCGACAACTATCATATCGCGTCGTCGTAATTTTCAAAATACTGGTACACGTTGGTATTTCGGTCAAAAACACAAATGTTTCGTAAAATTTATCGTCGAAATAAAATACACGTCAATATATTATACAAGTGTCTAGTTTTCGTTTTTTTGAAATTAATAATAATATTTTATGTATAATCATTGAAAAACTGTACGTAATCGTAAAATACTAAATACTCAAAAAGCATTTCGGACGACTATAATTACATACAATAACAGATTTACTTACCTAAATATTATTATTTGCGCTCGAGTTTCTCGACTCGATGTGCTACAAATCGTGCCACTGCGCACGGAAGTCGTCGCAAATGTAACTCGCGTGTATAGGTACTTGACCATTTGGTTCATGTTAGAACCCATTTACTTCTATGTAGTATGTACATTACAACGCGCCCATTACAGATACGCGTATATATTATTATACGCGACGGTTCCTATTTCAATCGTTTTGCGCGCTCGACATTAGATGCGCAAATACAATATTATATTTTTGTACCTATACAAGTTTGTGTGCATATAATTCCGTCATAGATGTCGCATCGGAAACTCGGCCACTGAAACAAATTCTTATCAAACATATAAATTATAATAATTAAATCTCTATTTGCTCATTATGCGCATTTATGGCCATGCGTCCTCTTTCTACAAATTGTAATATATGCATATTCCTATAAAACATAATTGTGTACAATAATATATAATCAGTAACCGCGGTGCAGTGTTTCAAACGGATAGATTTAGTATATTTTTACCATACCTATACCTATCACTTATATTTAATATATCGTTGTATTATAGTACTATATACAATAAATTACGTAAATTATAATATAATTACCTATTACTGTATGTCTACGCCAGTGACAATAGTACTTATTAGTTAATACTACGTAGTATGAATTGTTAAACATTTATATTGGCTAAAGTTAATGATTACTATGATATAATGTTGTGCATCTTAAGTTAAATATTATGACTGGGGCCCACTTAAGCACGTACATAAATCCGAAGTTATGAAGAAAGATGGTTTCTAATTTATTATGGTTTATTCGTAAAAATATTTAAACCATTAAAATAAAAAACAATCATACTATAGACTTTTTATTTGCTTACACGATGATCATAAATGGAGTAATTATTATTTGATTGGCAATAATACTATTACACAAATACTATTCCTTAAAAGACAAACTGATTACTAGGCAATTAATTATGAAATATTATAGGAAGTTTTTGCTTAATATTTAAAATTAAAATATTGATTTTATCAAGATTAAGTAAGTAAAATAGTTTCATTAAAGAGTATAATATAATATTATCTAATATTACTATTATCAAAATAGTTCATAAAATTAGAGAATTTTTAATTTTTCATAATATTTTAACGTAATTCTTTACTAATCTTGTGTATAATATTTGTATCCTATTAATATTAGACTTATTTTAAAATTTTAAATCTTTCTTTTTCAACATTATTAAAGCAATACATTAATGCATCGAAAAATGTTGATGCTATTTTTAAAATGTCCATTAGCATTATTCAAAATGTAAATGTTCTAAAAATTGTTGACAACCTAAAGGTTAGGTTATTGTAAGGAATAATACAATTTCATATACTAAGTTTAAAATTGCGTTTCATATCAAAATCTTCCGTGGAATTAATATCACACTCAAATAATAGAAGATATAAAAAAATTAATACTCATTTGTATCAAATATCGAAAAATATAAGAAACACAGTTAAAATATATGAAAAATTAAAATATTTTTGCCAATTACTACATACTAACTGTATTTTCCCTTTTAAAAAAAAATTATATAAACTACGAAAAATTAGATTT